GTTTCCTTTTCCATTTCCATTCCTACCGAGTCCCGGTGTACCAGGATTGCCTGATATAACAAAATGTTTGACATATTTTATGAATATTCCAGGGTGTATCGCAGAGTTTTCGCAATCTATACTCATTGGAAAGTTTGGAAACATAGGCCCTGCTTGTTGCAAAGCAATTTTGGAAGCTGAAACCAATTGCATTCCACAACTTCCATTCAATCCATTTTTTCCTCCTATGCTAAAGGAACAATGTTCAAAAACTGTTGGCGCACTTCCTCCTACCAAAAAGTAGAATTTAATTACCCCTCACCTTAACGATTCCTTTTTTTTTTCTTTTTTTTTAGTTGAAAAATAAGATTAGGTTTACGATTTGTATCCAAAATTTTCAACGATATAATAATAGCATTATAAACGAGTCACTTTGTTTTTCCCAGTTTTACATAACAATAATTTATAACAATTTTAATTAGATTGCAAAAAGGCTTGCTTGAAGGTGTAATGACCTTTCAAGAAACAACATGAATTTAGAAGCGCTATAAAAGCACGATTCCAGAAAAATTAAAATTAGAATTTCAATGGATGATTGTTATTACGTTTTAAATTAGCAAACACTGTAAAAATATGCGAAGTGTGTTGCACACTTATATTGAAAAATCTTAAAACTTGCTCAATCTTTAAAAATTGAAATTGTAAAATATACATAATATACATAATATAAATTGATGAATTAAATTGACTAATTTTTCACATTCAAAAATTATAATAGAAAAGAGAGTCAAAATAGTAAATATCAAATTTTCATCCATTATTATTTTATTCACAAACTTGTCTTTCATTTTTTTACATTTAATCTTTTCATATTTAGTTTTACAATATCATCATTGAATAAGTATCTTGGTTTTTAGGTCATATGACCATAAATTTAAATAAATGTGAGTTAAATTTTAAAAACAATAATTATATTTTTTATTTTACGAATATATAAAATTCAATCACCGAACATGGTGCATAAGATATGTCGTGGTATGTCTTATATTCCTAATCATTTATTTAGGTATGTGTTTTAGAATTTATTGCTAAAACTGTTCCTAATTAGAAAATATATACATGAAATAATAAATACTTTAACAGAATATGGAAAACAGAGAACAGATACGTAGGCATGTCGATTACGTCAAAA